TGGGGTCACTTGTTATTTTATGCCAGATTCCAAGAACCATCACTAGACTACACAAAATGTACTGTAGAAATTACTGGGATGGTTATGTACTAGAGGATATAATTTCTATAATTATTTAAAAAAAAAACAGTAGGCAAATTGTTTGGCATGGAGCAATATAGTCATTGACAAATGAGACTCTGGCCCATAACAGTCTCAGAGCTTCTGCTACTACTCTGTCTGTGTTACACATGCATCATACTGATTGTGCTTGTCCACCCTTCTACTTCTTGTCCCGAACTCCCTTGGTGGCTCTGTCTTGAATTTAGCTGTATGTGTAAAAATGTCTACTGCAATGCTGAGCTCCGTGCTGGGTGGGATCACATTTGTACTTGGACTTGGGGCCAGAGGCTGCATGTCAGCCATCTCACCATTTTAGGATTAGAGAAATCTGCAAGGACTTCCCACCCCCCATTTTTATTTTGTTTCATCACAGATGAGGAGACAGAGAGCTTCAACAGTGCCCATACTACAAACCCACGAGGAGCATAGGAACCAGTAATTTACGGTTTATTTTATATCAACTTCCTGGCATCATATAAGACACAGAAAATGGATTCTGATAATTTACTTTTCTCGGCTGTGATGTGTTATCAGCTCACATTCCAAGAGAGTTCTAGTCTAACTAAGGCTATGTCATCACTGAAGGGTTAAGTCATCTACACTCAAGTTCGCTGGTCTGAAGTTAGCCTAGCTTGAGTGAGAGCAGCTACACTGTGAAAGAATGCTCAAGCTGCACAAAAGTTTCTGCAGTGATTGTTTTAGCAGCTGATGAGTTGTTCTAATTGAGCTGTAGACTATCCCCCTGCCATGCCCACCAACTCCGTTAAAAGCACTACCATGCTCAAGTTAACAAGTTTTGTGTTTAGACAGTATTTAAGTTAGGGGCAACACTTGAGTTGTAACTCAAATGAACTCTGCAATGAAACCCTAAAGTGGCCCGTGTCACCATTGCTAAAGCTACAATATCACTTTCCTCTTCTTTCCCCCCACCACTCTACTCACATTCCTATCCACAAGAGGACAGTCTTTCCATCTGTTATTACCAGCTACAACATAGTTTTAAGGTCAACCCCTTTAAAAATTAGCAGTGGGTAAATGCAACATAACAAAATGCTGAAAACACAGTTCTATCCAATTCACTTTGTTTTAAAAATTATGCTTCAATTCCCAGTAACTGAATTGCTCCTATTTGTTCATACTGGATTTGTGCTTATATCTCCCACCCTGTAAACATATTCCACATCCCTGTTAATTGAAATAAAGTTGTTTAATTCCCAGAATGAAACGGAAAGACAGAGCTTTATTAAGGTCATGGATTTGAGTTATTAGAAGAGCTTGTAAGCCTCCACAACACATTCTATGTAAATCATAAAACAAAGTCATATAACATACATTAGTGACCCCAGTGTAATCCCATTACACCATCACTATGAAAGCAGGAGACTGCTATTGTTTCTTTCCTTTCTTTGCTTGAATCGTTCCAATAGCATGATTCCGTTTGAAAACAGGATATTGTTCCAATTTGAGAAATGATCCTCTGTCTTCCAGAACTCATCTTAGAATCTGTCCGTTTCTCTAGGTTCAGGATATTAAAAGGAACAGTTATTTAAAAAGGATGTAATAACGGGCCTTTGTGCACTTAATAAAATTCTCACTTGTACTTCAAGTTCACTCAAAGAAATTAACAACTTTTATGGCAGAGGCCCATGTGACACTGAGATCCCTTGGCAAAGGGTTTCCTGTTCTTTGCAAACAGCTCTCACCTCAGACCTGACAAATTCACTACACCAAACACATTTTACAGGATATTCATCCATAAAGAGTAACATATAAGGTATCTACAGATAGCTCATAACTTGTCAAGATTCAATCATTGTGAGATGTATGTATGGATAATAGTCAAGGAACAATGTATTTATATTGAAAGTATGCTATATGGATTTGGAGTACAAATTAGTCTCGATGATGACCCATTTAGGCAAGAGGGAGCCATCACCCTCCATAGTCAGACGGCGAGGTAATTGCACTCTATTGTTCATCCTTGCCACAATCCCAGAATAATCAATAAAAAACCATCAGAAACAACGACAAAACCAATCAAAACTACTTAAAGGTAGAAAAGAAACTCTGCAGCAAAGCAGAAGTTTGTCCTGTCTATGAACAGAAACAAAAGATTGTTTTCAGTATAACAGAGCATATGGAAAAGCGGTATCCATTCACTGAGGAAAACCCCTGGTGGATGGAGTGTGCTTTCAGGAACGTTTGGTTCCTGGTTCTTGAGAAACCAGTCAGTTCTGCAACAGACTGAACTTTGGGGGAAATCTACTTTATTAGATAGGAATGGTAACTATTGACACTGGTTTGTGTTTTATGATTTTGTTTTGTATTGCAACCACTTGTTTCCATCATTCTCTCTTGTTTCTAGTTAACTCTTTATTCTTTCTTAAAATAAACCTTTTATTTTATATAAGTGCTCACAAGTGCTGTGTGGTTTACAGACGTGGTGGTTTAAGGCAAAGAATCTGGAAATTCTGTGAATAGCCAGTGTTAAGGGCTGGATAGTACATGGGAACAATACAAAGAGAGTTGGGGATTGGGGTGCATCTATTGTTAACCTGCTTCGTGAAGAAAGGGCAGCATAAGTCCAGAGGAGAGTGCTTGAGAGGGTTGGCAGTCTCAGGAAGCTCACACCCCGCTACCACACACACACAAAAGACTCCCTCTCATTGGAGATGAGGTGGTAACAGGCTGACTCATGGTCCTGGGTCCCCTGAGAACCATCGTAGCCCAACTTTTATTTTTTGTCCTTGTGTTAGAGCCAGCTTAATCTATAAAGTAAAATATCACTGCACAATAGATTTAAACCAATATCTCCTGACCAATTCTACTTCTATCAGCCACATACTTGCTCACTGAAGACTCCAAAGGGAATGAGCCCCAAATATCATAATATATAATCCTGCGTTCTCCCAAATTCCTTGAACTCCTCTTTTGGAGCAATACATACATTGCACAATACTTTACTTCTGCAGTTAATGAGCTAATTATCTCTGGCAAAGATTTTCAAAATAAGCATCTAAAATTAAGCTCCTAAATACATACTTAGGCACCTAAATAAGTGATCTGCTTTTCAAAAGTGCTGAAAAGGGGGTGTTAGATGCTCAAGAGTTTTGAAAATATGATCATTTATTTGGGTGCCTAAATATGGCTTTAGGAACCTATCTTCAGGAGCCAATTTTTGAAAACCAACCTTGGCCTCCAAATTTTATTTCCATGTTAATTTGAAATCTTATTGCATAGAAGTGCTTGGAAATAAAGATAATGCTTTAGTTATAACAATTTTCAAACTTGTATGTGTTATATTATTCAGAAATCAGCCTGTGCTGCCTCTGAGCTGCCTGGAAGCGGGTGGTTAGACAGTTCCTTACCTGTCTTGGCATCTCTTCTGTATGTCCGATAGAATTCAAGCATTTTGTGAAGGATAGCCTAGTGAGCACTCTATGACTCTTCAATACAAAACTGAAACCATATGGTGATGAGACTAGGATCCAGTTAGGAACAGTTAAATGATTTTCATTTTATCCCTAAAGGATTCACTATGAATCAGCTTCATAAGAGAAAATAGTGTTTCCAGTGAGAATTGCTAAAATGGCCATTTAGTGCACTTTAAAAAATGAGTTTCCAGGATGATATGCTCACCTCAAAGGTTATTCCCTTGCTAATTAAACTGTTACTAAAGAAAAGTAAAAAGCAAACAATTTTTATTGTAGTTTGGAGTAAAATATACTGAGAATTAACAGATTTAACATTACTACTGTAATTGATGAAAAAGGGATTAAGAATTTAATTGACCATTTAAGGGAATATTTTTGGCCTGATTCTCTATTATGCTGCACCTGTTTTATAAACTGGTGTAATTGATTACACAGGCATAAAACTGGTGAAACAGAGTTGATGATCAGGCCCTATTTTCCTAGAACAAGCTTTGTTGCATAAATTCACAAAATATACTTGCCAAACCACTTCAGAAGCAAATGCTTTTTAGTACCTGGAAAAAGTAAAGAAAATGGCTGACGAAATTTCAGGTCAGTCTAAGGCCTGGACTACACTAAGGGGGAGGATCAATGTAAGTTACGCAACTTCAGCTATGTGAATAATGTAGCTGAAGTTGACGTACTTAGATCTACTTACTGCGATCTTCACTGTGTTAAGTCGACAGCTGATGCTCCCCCATCGACTCTGCCTATGCTTCTCGCTCCGGTGGAGTACCGGAGTCGACAGGAGAGCGCTCGGCGGTTGATTTATCGCATCTAGACTAGACGTGATAAATCGACCCCCGCTGGATC